AGAAACACTGAAACTCTTGACCCTCCTAAAACTGAAGCTGCTGCTGCTGCTGCTGCTGATCTGTAGTTTATAAAGTCCAGAGTCTGTGCTTCTGGTGTTTGTGATGGTCAGAGATCCAGTCTGATTGTCCAGCTGCAGTCTGTCTCTGAATCTCTCATCACACTCATCATCTGTACAGATCTTACGCTGATCTCCAGTGATTTCAGCAACAAGAATCTCATTAAAAAACCACGTCAACAAATCATTTGGGTGTTTTGTTACACCAGGATCTAAAGTGACAGATTCTCCCTCCTTCATTTCATCTCGTTCAGCAGCAGAAACCCCTGAAACACAAACCAACAGCTGCTGGAGGATCTTGTATTTTAAACATATATAAACTGCATTTAAACACTCGTTAAATGACTCACCAGTGACGGAAACAGCGAAGATCATTTCACTGTCGCTGCTGCTGCTGAGTACCACTAGTTTATAGAGTCCAGAGTCTGTGGTTCTGATGTTTGTGATGGTCAGAGATCCAGTCTGATTGTCCAGCTTCAGTCTGTCTCTGAATCTCTCAGTACCTTCATTACACTGAACATCTGTACAGATCTTACTGAGATCTCCACTGATTTCAGCAATGCGAGTGCCGCTGAAATACCATTTAATATCCTCTTGTTGGTTTGTTTGAACCACCGTGTGTAGAGTGACTGAATCTCCCTCCATCACAGACACTGAGACTCTTTCTCTATAAACACCAGAAACACCTGAAGAAACAAACACAAACAAAAAAATATATACAATAATGCTGTGAAAATATTAAGTCTACAGATCATAAAGATTGTGAGCAGAGAAATGTGTCTGGATTCATAATGTCACACATGCAAACAAACAGCAGATGAACTTCACTGATTTACACATTCACTCTTCAGACAAACAGACACGAGTCTCATGAATGATGTTATACAACACAAAATCCACATCCTGATTCATATTTTCATCCCCTTTCCCTATATATATTTGAACATTAATCATTTTCATAGAATCATAATGAATATTACATAGATGACTAGAACCCAAAAAAATACTTAAGAGAATTATTTTGCACCTTATAAAGACTCAATACACTGCAGTATTTTCTACATTTTATAAATATATTTTAGTGCTTAATCTGCCACGTAAATAACGTGTGTAGGCAACATTTAGGCCTACATTTTATGAATTTGGCAGAAGCTTTTAACCAAAGCACTCACATAACATCCAAGCTACATTTGATAAGTTTATGAACTGATAATGTCAACTTTTACTGAAGTTAGTTACGTGTTTATACCCAGTCACGTGACCTATTTCAAAAGACAATTTTCACGCAAATTAAACTGATCTGATCTCGTTTGAACTGCGATAGCGTTGTTTTTAATTGTTAATATGTGTTTCACCGACCATCGATTTCTGTGAGTGTCAGGCTCAGTTCTCAGCCTCAAGCCTAACCATTATCCCAACAATAGCGTCCATCACTCCAGCGCCAAAGATGCGTTTAGGCCTACTACAGGCCACAGAAATCGACGGAAAAGAGATTGCAACGAAAAAGATCTCACCATGGTCGAGTAAAAACAAAGTCACTGTGAGTACATTAAAGAAAAGCTTCATTTTCACCACTTTTCCCCTCAGTAAACGAATGCGGAATTTGATTCATAAGTGTTGTTCTGCTTTAATGGGGAGCAGTAAAATGAAAGTAACCCGGATTCTCCCAATGGAAGGAGAGCGATGAGGTATGAATGTTCCTGGCGTTTTCTAATATGCATGAGAAAAAAGGCTTTTCGCCGTGTTCCGTTTGTAAAATAGCGTATTAACAGTGGCGGAAATGGCCAAATCACTGGGCGGACTCTAGCTAGGAAAGGGGCGGGGTAATATTAGATGACCTTTCAGATGTATTTAATTATAAAACCCTTTATAATCTATTATAACATTAAACTTATTTCATATTTTCTCTAAACCTTCTTGGATATTAAGACAGAAACCTGCAATTCTGGCCAAATTAAAGATACATTGTGTGTAAATTTGCACATGTTATAATGTAAGCATCATTAATGACCCCTTGTGTTTCTTTAAAAAAAATTGATTAGTGAAATGAAAGAATGATTGAATAAAAACTGAGAATGATTAATAATAATTATTATTATTGTGTAAGCATCATTTATGACCCCTTGTGTTTAAAAAAAAAAAAAAGAGAAAGAAAGAAAAAAAAATATTGATTAGTGAAATGAAAGAATGATTGAATAAAAACTGAGAATGATTAATAATAATTATTATTATTGCCCGATTAGCTCAGCTAAAAACACTTCTTATTTAGTGGTACAGTACTGCATGATTTGTAGATTATATTTAATAGTTTACACTTTGCATAAACATTTGCAATTCGTTTTTAAAAGGTAACGTTACATTCTTCAGGACTCTACGCTTACTTTTCTTTTTAGAAGCACTTGTGCCCCTACTTAAAAAAAATAAAAATAAAATAAAAAGTAGGAACACCTGATCAATGACAGAGATTAACCTTCCCATTCCAAGGTGATATTTGACTTTTTAAAGCGTAAAGTTTACCTTTGTAATGCCATTTTTTTCTAACTTTATTAAATGTGTCATCTTTTGTGTCAAAAAAAATTATATTTATAATCTTTTATCAAAAAATGTAATTAAACAATAAATTCAATTAAAATAATAAGATACAATCAGGAAGAATAAGTTGCCAGTCAAATGAAATCAGCATCAATAATTTATCTTTTGTTTTTAGGAATTGGCACAGAAGAACACAAATTAAGAAATATTTGCAGACTGTTAAACGAGACTCAGAGGTGAATATATTTAAAATTAATAATAACAGTGTTATGAGATTAATGTTTTAAATATAAAGTTTTTGAATATAGAAATATTAAAGGATTCAAATGAATCAATTTATACTTTAAAAATGAAACTGAAACCAGCAGTTGGCGGCAAGTCACTGGCCCTGTTCTAAATGGCGCCCTGAACAGGGGCGGAGCCAGGGGACTGACAAAAGCTTGGCCACCCCACTCAAAACTGCAGCTTTTGTCCCTTTTTTTCTTGACAAGAATGCATGTATTAAGATGCGGAACCACCGTATCTCTTTATGACCACATCAAACGGGAGAATTTTCAGACGCGCACTTCAGCTTCACCTCACAGCGTCAGGCGCGAGTCAAACGAGCGCGGAAAAGCTACAGCAACCAAATGAGCTTCAGTAGAACAACTGTGAACTGCGGTCTGATCAGATGTTGTTCGACTATATGTTAGTAAAACGCACTTTCCTGTCCCATCAGCCGTTTTACTGTGATCACGGCGCACTCTTCAACATACGCAAATATCATAAATAACCCGCACAAGAAATGAGCATAGTTCGACATGTGTTCTGACGACACAGCTAAGTCATGAAATTACCAAAAAGGCAATTAAAGCTGCAAACTGTGCATGTATACGCAGCACACAAGAACGTCTCACAAATGCATGTACTAAAATATATTCTGCAATTCGAGATCACAATATAAGGCACAAGCTGATATGTATTTTTTTATTTGTAATTTAATGCACAAATAAATGTGAGCACAGTGCACTTATACTAGAAAATATGCGAAAATGAAACCATTTAAATGCATGAAATAGCTGACTGAGCAATAAAGCTATAGTGAGCCCTTTTATTTAAATACCTGGATGTGAGGAATAATACAAAAATTGTCATATTCACTCAGTATTACTTGATATAATAATTCACAAATATCTCAATTACAATTAAGAAGAAATTAATTGTATTCAGTTGTGTTTTAGGCACTAAAATAGTCTAGTAGTTTATAGTCAAACACATTTTTATATTAAAATAATAGTATCACAATATCTGCATGTCTCATCCATGAGTATGCAATGTTGGAGAGCAAGC